GTGCATTTTACACTATCTGCAAATGTGGGTTTAATTTCCTATAGTCAAACTCTTTAAACTTGAGTCTCTCATGCGGGTATGAACAAAAATTGGATGAAACCAGATTAACCAGGAGGAGTACAAGGAATTACATGGTGGAAGATTGAAGAAGTGGGACACATCACTTTCCCTGCCCTATTTGAAGTTATAGTTTAGGGGAAAGTCAACAATTTTATTTCACTCTTTATGGAAATATAGATTAGTACAGTAAGTTATTCCAGTGAGATATTTTTCTCATAACAGGTAGATAGGAGTTAAAATTCTTAACATAATCTTTCTGGACCTTGAACCACAGCCTCTGTTGTCTAGTTTTCTTAACTCCACAGTCCCTACTTCTCCAGACTCTGTTTAACATAAGATCAACGACAACTGGATGGACTAACAGCTCTGATCCAAACCAATGTGCTCACAATAGGGGACTTGCTGGAGATGTTCAAATAGTGCTTTCTGCCTTTAATCACCTGTCACTTGTTTGCTTTATAATAGGCTTGAATGATACTTATAGCACGTGATTGTGAATTGGCTCATATTCATGTAGTTTTTGTTACTAAACAGGTAGAAAAAAATTATCCAACCAAAGCACTTTTTCCAGAAGTATACCGGGAATTTGAAGAGCTGCACACTATAGTAAAGAAAATGTGCCAAGACTATCTGAGTACTCCTGAATTAAACAACCCTCTGGCAATAAAAAACCCAAAGGTATGTTGGGTAGTTCCGTGTGTGGCTGTGAATCAAGATCCAGTAGCTAAACTGAGTGCAGCAGGTGAAACTGAACACATTTTCTTTAAAAGGAGGAGTGTGAAGATAAATAGCAAATACTCAAGATAAGCAGAAATTAAGTACATCTTATTTTATATTTGCGCTTCTATCTTTTGCTTTTAGGCCTACTTGCTAAGATCAAATATAGTACCTTGGAGTAAAAAACTATCACCACAATAGTTAAATAATTTTCCGCTAAAGCAGCTTTTAGGGACGCGGGTGGCGCTGTGGGTTAAACCACAGAGCCTAGGACCTGCCTATCGGAAGGTTGGCGGTTCGAATCCCTGTGACGGGGTGAGCTCCCGTTGCTCGGTCCCTGCTCCTGCCAACCTAGCAGTTTGAAAGCACGTCAAAGTGCAAGTAGATAAATAGGTACCGCTCTGGCGGGAAGGTAAACGGCGTTTCTGTGCGCTGCTCTGGTTTGCCAGAAGCGGCTTAGTCATGCTGGCCACGTGTACGCTGTACGCCGGCTCCCTCGGTCAATAAAGCGGGATGAGCGCCGCAACCCCAGAGTCGGTCACGACTGGATCTAATGGTCAGGGGTCCCCTTTACCTTTAAAGCAGCTTTATTTACAAACATGATACTCAAAATATTAACAAAGAAGACTTGCTAAGGTCTAATAAAACCATCCTCGAAATAATGAAAGCAGGTACCTGCCCTGCTGACTTACCGCCTGTAAATAATAATTTTGAAATAATGAAATTTACTGTGAATAAATTGTGTATTACTGGTCTAGGACAAAAATATTGTGTCTCGTCTTTCATAGGTGGCTGAATCTCTAGGAATTATAGGCAGTGATCTTGAAATGCAAATGGTTCAAACAATAGAATCTTCACCCAAGTGTATTAAAATTGCTGATGCATGTGTATGTACAGAGATTCTGGGACAGAAACGAGTGACTGAGGTATAAAATAGGTGAATTCTGCCACATCAATAATACTGTACAAACCTTGTAGCATATTTAACTTTTCTTGTGCTTTTTTGCTTGTATATGTCTTGCTGAAAAGAAGCTGTTGCATATTTCATCTTCCATACAAAATTGGTCTTTATATAATAAAGCAAGCCATACTTTTTTTGGCATAAGTTCATTTACTTGGATTCTTGTGTGGCACAAAGTGCTGCCAAATAAACAGAGCTTTTTAAAATATTGGAATAATTTTAAAAAGTTGATGTTTGATAAATAGGCTGGTAAGTTTATTTTCTCTCTCAACAGGGTTCAGATGAAATGCTGCCATTTGCAAAAAAGATCAGAGCTGAAAATTTGTTAGAAAGTGTGACTATCAGTTCAAGTCATGGTGAAATAAAGGAAAGAAGTCCTGCATATGAAGGTAGTGGTATGTGAATTCTAATGTCTCCATTCTCTCCTGAAGATAAAATTACGTGCAAATAGCTAGGAAGCTGAAAGCATACAATGACCCTTTAAACTGTAGTGGTATAAGTCTAAAAATAATGTTAAGTAGGGAGAGAGAGAGAAAGGAAACTTAGCTAAAAATTTGCTGTATCCTTCACACTTGCATTCTCCTTTCTTGCCCAGGTACTTAATGCATAGGTTTTCCAAAAGTTGTTTGTTTTTTCTTTATTGGTGATTTGAATTCAGATTTCACCAAATGAATGTCAATACTGCTGTTTTAGAAACACGAGCTTAAAGCCCCTTTGGGCATACAAAACTAACTATACCTTTGTTTAGCTCTCAACCTATATTGGAAGGAAATGTGATATAATGCAATTATTTATTATTAGTAAATACTCCACCACCTGGCTACTTTCAGGGATAAATGTTAACACTGCCAAGCAGATTTTTTAAAAAATCTGTTGCCAAAGTAGAAGCTGTTTGTTTATTCTATTATACTACTTAATGCTTAATATTATACTTAAACAGCTTAATTTATAATATGGGTAGCATATACCACAATCGGGTGGTATATAATTTTTATGAAATAAATAGTTTATAAAACACTTTCCTTTTTGTCTGTTTTGAAAAGCATGCATGTAAACTGAAGTTTTGTGTTTTTTAACTTGATTTTTTTAGGTTTCCCCCCAGAACAGAACTGCGGAGCAAACATTTGCACTGGAAATACATTACAGCAAAAGGAGCGCCACAAATCACTTGAACTAGAAGCTTCAAATGAGATTGCAGATACAGATCAGTTCCTGCAAGGGAAGGCTGAGATCTTACAACCTTCAAGTGTATCAGGGTTGGATTGTTCAGGCTACCTGTTCTCACGAAGTGAAAGGTTGCCACTTGCCAGTTCAGAAAGTTCACAAGAAAAGATGGTGGCAGCGTACTTGGATAATGCAGCAAGCGGACTAAGTGTGTTTGAGATTTGTAACTCCACAGCATCAAAAAAAGCTAATCAAAATCCTTCCTTGTTAGTGCATGAAGAAAGCAATCATAATGAAAAATATCAAGAATCTCAGGAAGAAGCGAGGATTTTGTCATTAATAGATTGTGAACATCCTACGGTATCTGATTAAGCAAAATCTTCCCAAATTAGTAACATGGCAGTAGCTAATCCACTTGGGTCTCAATGAGATAACGTTTATATATGATCTTAGAAAACTCATTGACAATCGATTAAAAAGATGACTGGATGAGCTAGAAACTCTTCTCTAGGGATATGAAATAGTTCAGGCTTTGCCTCATCCTGGTGCTGCTGTCTTTTTCAACCAGTGTTGTAACCAAATTGATGCTGCTGCTATGCACTTACACATTCAAGTTCTTTGGAAAGTACAGAGGCTCTTTTAACAACATTGTTCACACAGAGAACTTGCTCAGAGTAAAGCCATTATGAAAATATATGGGTTTTAAAAAAACAAAACAATTTCTTAAAATGTGTATTTTTGTTATTAAATCTTAATTTTCTGCTGCTTGTGACCTTTGTGCAATTACAACTAACATGACTGAAGAGTAACTAGAATTCCAAGTAAACTGCACTGTTTACCAAACTGATCTGTTTTTTGGACACAACTTATTACCAAAATTACGCTGCTTTTTGACTAAACGGTAAGATCAAGAACCAGCTCATTGGTAAGAATCTTTTTATAAAATTGAGAATCTGTGCAAACAAAGGTAATGGCATTCAGTGCTGGATATCAAACTGTAACTGATGGTTTATCTAGTTCAAATCAAAGGTACTACATATACTATCCTTGACACCTTGGGTGTGTCAGGTCATTTTGATGTTTTGAACACAGGAGCTGCTCTAAAGCTGCTAAGCGTAGAGAGATTGTATTGCAGTCAGTTACGAAGTGAAAGCTTCAGTCTGGTAAGTAGGTCACTTTCATATTTAGATATTATTATCTGGAAGAGTGGGCCTTCATGTCCCAGAGATGAATCCAATCCCCCAACATACAGACTTCAGTGACAGACTTCAACGAGGCTGTTCAGATTTAGATAATTTCCCAGAGTAGTGGCAATTCTAAAAAGCATATGCCTCTAGGCACAACCTGAGCTGAAATGGTAATGTAGCATTTGCCTAATGTTAACAATTTTCTGTTCAGTAAGGTAGAAATGCAAAAAGTGCCTAATAGCCATTGGTGCCTGAAAAAAATGGGCCTGGCAGCTAGGATGCTGAGAAGGGCAGGAGGCTGTTAGTGCTTTGCCTCTTGTATATGTTTCCTGAAATCCCCAGTACTTTCTATGCTGCCATGGCCTAGCAACAGAGGCAAGGATGGGCCTTTATGGGATTTACATATCGGCCTCGTAATCCAAGGCATGTATTAACTTTTCTCATAGCCCTGGTGAAAGATCCAGCTACAGTCATATTTAGATTATAAATGAGGAGAGAGTGCTAGTGCACTCAGGTACTCCTAGCAGGCTTTCCACAGGCATATAGTTGGCCATTGAGAACAGTATGCTTGACTGGATAGACCATTGGCCTACTCTAGCAGGTTCCTCTTAACACTCATGGTGTGAAAGTTCAGACTTTAAAACAAAAGAAAAAGGAGTTCCACTGGATATTGAAATCTGTGAAAGCAGATTTTTAGAGATCCTAAAGTTAATCAGAAGACAGGAGTGCCTGGCGTGCTCTGGTCCATGGGGTCACGAAGAGTCGGACACGACTAAACAACAAAGTTAATCAAGCTCTTTTAGAATTGTTTTGATTCTATTATTTTACAAAATTTATATAAATCTGGATAGTACTAAAACCTCTAAGTAGTTTTGTTTGTTGTAATCCCAATATGGGACCTGCTAGGTAAATACAATTTTAGAAAATAAAACAGACTTTATTAAAACGTTGGAACTATACAAAAATATATAAATTGCATTGTGTTTAATGTATTAGCAGTGCAGTTCAAGGCAAATGCAACTTTATAGAGTGGTAGGAAAGGTTAGACCAGCCTGTGCCCCGTTTCCAATAGCATGCTTTCTAGTAATATTTGGCTGGTATTCTCAATGTAGGGCTGGTATAACCATGACGACAAGTAGGCCATCAGGAGATCTTGGTCAGCGGTATGAGCAATCTCTTGCACAATAGTTTGCTTGAGTTTAGTTCCTTTGAGTACATGTTCAAGAGCTTTCCAGAAACTTCATCTGAAACAGAAAAATTAAATAAAGTAGCTCTGGAAAGACATAGACATTCTGAATATGGCTTAGGACAGCAAATGAAGAGAAGAATGTGCACTAACTTTGTCCCCACCCTCCTCTCAATTAGATGCTGTGTTTCCTAGCAACTGTCTGCAGTGGGAAAACATCCTGTACCCCTGTGCACTTTGAAAGCCTGATATTTTTTTTTCAGGGTTTCAAAATGCATAGATGCAGCCATGATTCCAGGAGGCTTCTCTGCTGCAGACGGTTTGATAGGGAACACATGGCAAATGTACAGCTACCACACCCTCAGAGTGCATACTCTCATATGTATTGACGAAGCCATAATTCAGAATGCCTGAGTAGTGCTCTGATTTTGCTTCATATTACAAATGCTGAACATACTACATTGCTAGCTAGATTGCTTGCCTATAGTTTTTAAGCTTTAGAATTAGTTAACTCATCTTCCATCCCTCAAGTTCCATATTTCTCCTGCTGCGCAATTTTTAAAAAGCTTATCTGGTTTCAACATATGGAATTCTAGGAATTGATATGGGTTGATGATGTGAAGCATTCTCTTCTGAGAGCTATAGTTGCCTTGCAAATTTGCAATTCAAGCAATATAAGCTAAATTTAAATTCTTTAGCTCACAGTATTCCACTCTCATTTTCAAATGAATATGCTTCAGCGGAAAGAAATAGCAGTATCTCAGAAAGGAAGAATTTACTTACAGAAGTAAGGAATGGGCCATGTGTGAAAGAATGGTGTCTTCTGATCTCCATGATATGCTTCTAAGTCGCAGATCCCTTTAGTAGTTGAACATAGTTTTTCCATTTTCTGTTGTATTTTTGCCTAACAAAGTTTTAAGTGTCTGTGTAAGAAGCTAATATTTTGTAACCAACAGTACAATCCTAACCATGTCTATTCAGAAGTCACATTGAATTTTATGTTGGAACTGCCCTGAAATCTTCAGACGAAGAGCGATATACAAATTTAATAAGCAATAATAATTACAGTAATAAATACCATATTTATGTGAATCTAATGCACCTTCAAATCTAATGTGCACCTCAGTTTTCAAGACCTTAAAACCAAAAAAAGTACAGTAGTACCTCGGGTTAAGAACTTTACCTCAGGATGAGAACAGAAATTACGCTGCAGCAGCAGCAGGAGGCCCCATTGGCTATAGTGGTACCTCAGGTTAAGAACAGACCTCCGGAATGTATTACGTTCGTAACCAGAGATACCACTGTATTTGCTATGTCTGTGTTGTTCAAGCTTGCAATTGAATCTAATGCACCATCAAATCTAATGCACACTCTAATTTCCATGACATAATTGGGCCAAAATGGTACACATTACATACGAGTAAATAATGTAATAATAACAATAAATGTGTTTTTGTCCTGAAGTGGCAATCCTAGTCCCACCTACCTGGCCTAACCTCAACTGAATTCAATGTGACTTATTTCTGAGTACACATGAATATGACTGCAGCTTAACATATGTTCTATCTGTGCAGGCTACTCAATCCCTACTTTCAGAAACTTCACAACCAGGGAACTTTTATTACAAAGACTGGATAACTGGATTAGAGACAAATCACTAATTAAACTATTCAGTCAGTACTGGACTAAAATTAGTAGTTCTCAAAGGGCATTTTTCACAACCAAACATTAAGAATAGCTTCAGTTCTCCCTTCTGAATGTTTTGCACAGAAGAGATTCATTTTTAATTTGGTTGATGGCTCCATTAGGTAGATTTGCATATAATTCTTATACCCTCTCTTGTGAAGGGATGTTGTCTTGAATATTCATGGAAAACATTGTTGAAAAGAAGACCTCTAAATCTCCCACAAGTGGCTATGGCCTCTTCCCTCTCCAGAACAAGGGTTCAGAAACTGCCCAGGAGTTTCATTTAGGTGGTCTGCAATGTGTCCATAAGGGACGCGGGTGGCGCTGTGGGTTAAACCACAGAGCCTAGGACTTGTTGATCAGAAGGTCGGCAGTTTGAATCCCCGTGACGGGGTGAGCTCCCGTTGCTCGGTCCCTGCTCCTGCCAACCTAGCAGTTCGAAAGCACGTCAAAGTGCAAGTAGATAAATAGGTACCGCTCCGGCGGGAAGGTAAACGGCGTTTCCGTGCGTTGCTCTGGTTTGCCAGAAGCGGCTTAGTCATGCTGGCCACATGACCCAGAAGCTGTACACCGGCTCCCTCGGCCAATAAAGCGAGATGAGCGCCGCAACCCGAGAGTCGATCACGACTGGACCTAATGATCAGGTGTCCCTTTACCTTTACCTTTAATGTGTCCATAAAAATAGAGCTAAAAATCACACAGCATCTAGCAGTGTGTGTTATAATTGCTACAACTTGCAGAAAAATCACTTAACTGGTCCCCTGGGCTGGGGAAAGTTTTGGGAACCACTGATCTATAGAAGGATGGTGGAAACAGAAAAATGCAGTGGGGGTCTTAATAAGAGAAATAGAGTACCATGTTTTCAAAAGTATCAAGTAGTTCTGTACAGCACTCCTCCAATTCTACATTGTAGTCAACTGGTCGTCTTCCGGACTCTGAAGCAGTATTATCATGTTCTATTTCCAACTTTCCATCTTTGCACCTAAAGAAAAATATCATTCATTGTACATAATAGAAGCTCTGTTCCTCTGACAGCTCCTACCCCTTGTTGCCTATAATATATAGGGTCAACTGTAGTCAGTGCATAATGCAAGGTAAATTGTTACATTCATATCATGCAGATTTTAAAAAGTGAGGTAATAAATTTGCATTGGAACCATTGACAAGATCTTTCAATATACTTACTCTGCAGAAATTTTGATGTTCACGATTTTGGTGGCAGTGGTAAATCCCTTATTATTCAGAGTTTCCCACTTCATCATTAAATTATGCCAGTCTGCTGCATTATCTTTAATTTTTCTTGCACTGATGGATAATGCAGGTGTCTTGGGAGTTGAGCCTTTGGCTAATCAAAAACATAACAATAAAACCCTTTAAATAGGAAGAGGAAAATATGTATGTGAGACATTTTAGACTGCTGGCGACTTTTTTTGTAATGTAATAAAATAAACAACAACTCTATTCTCATTGTTTTGTGAAGTTTCAGCCTCTATCGTCACTTGGCACATTGCTTCAAACTTACAATAAGAGGTTTTATTTCATTGATAGAAAACTGACAGGTCTCTGCCCACTGTAACACTGTGTGCCTGCCCATTGCCCATCACCCAAACGTGAAGAAGAAACCAACCCAACCCAACCCAACCGGGAGCTGGGATTGTAGTAGCATCGCAGGATCATGTCGCTTCCTTCGCAACCCCACAACCAGCTCCCAAAATTCACCCTTCTCCCTGCTTCCGTTCAGAAACAGCCTCTCTCAACTCCCGCCACAGCCGCCTCACAACATATCCAGTGCTGGATTTACCCATAAGCTAAACAAGCTATAGCTTAGGGCCCCTGGGGGCCACCAAAAAATTTAAAGGAAAAAAAACCTGGATGTACATTTCCAAAATATAAGATAAACAAATAAAATAAAACCTACATACAGCAACAGTGTTTTATGTTGTGGCCCTGCCTGCTAGCCTGCTCCCTAAAATATCACTGCTTTGCTCATTTCTATATATAGGGTGCCTACATTCTGCATGTGCAAATGGCTTTAGATCCCTATTAGGTTCATAAATTACTATATAGCATATATTCAACACAAAAAAGCGACCATTTGTTGTTGACAAAGGACAGCTGGACATGTAAAGGGTCCCATTACCTTCAGAAGCTTAGGGCCTCATCAAACCTAAACCCGGCCCTGAACATCTTATAGTTCTGAAGTCGGAGGCCAACCCTGCCTCCAGTGGCGGGGAGTTCCACCGTCCCGCCACCCTTTCATCTTCAGCTCCATCGCACGCCCCCCCCTCCCATCCCAGTCGTGGTACAGTATTACTTGAGAGCGAGGAAAAAACTGCTGGGTTGTGGCGCCCCCCTCCCCATGCGCCTTTCTCCAGCAACCGCTTTCCCCGGGGCCTCCTTCGCTGAAGGAGGTGCAGGCCGCGCTCCCGCCCGCTGCCTGGGGAAGAAGCGCTTACCGGCCATCTCCGCCGCCACCCGAGGCCGAGGCCGCTCCCTCCCCTCGGAAGTGCGCTCACGTCCGGCTCCGCCCAGCGCTGGAGACCCAGCGCCGCTGGGCCTGGGGGCGACGCGGGAGCTCAGGCCCCGGCCGTGGCCCCTGCTGAGGTGAGGAGGGCAGCCTAGCGCGGCGGGGAGGCGGGGTGGGAGCCTCCTGGCTGGGCGGCCCTCTCTTCTTCCCTTCCCTGGCTGCCGGAGGCGATAAGAAGGACGCTCACCGTCCGGAGAACCCCCCTTTTACGCATTCCTTCCCGGGTTTCCCTCGAGAGACCTGGCGCTGGAAACACGTGTCGAGGCTCCGTCCTGACGAGCCCTGGGCGGTTGGTCGGCTTCTCTGCCGGCCAAGGCGCGCACAGAGAATGAGGCTTGCCTTGAGCATCTCTTGCGGGGGTGAAGCGGGGGCGCATGTTTGGGAACCGCCGTGTGCTAGGTTTGTTTACCTTCTTTAGTCTATTTCGGCCGCCTGTCTGCCTGCCTGTAATCTTGTTTGGTTCATGCTTCAGGTGGGGTGGTTGGGCTTCCCAACAGGGCTGATTATTACTCTACCGATTAATGGGATCATTTAATTCTGCTCTCTTTTATCACTTATGGGTTAGAATTGTCACTCTGCATTGAGGAGGAAGGACAAAAATCCACCCAGAAGTTTTCCCTTCTCCCATTAGTCTTGTCTTTTCTTTCTTTCTTTCTTTCTTTCTTTCTTTCTTTCTTTCTTTCTTTCTGATTTGTGCTTTCCTCTTCATGCCCTTCTTAGCAAAACAAACGAATAATACAACTTCTAGACGGCATTAAAATGGGGGTGGGTGGGAATGCTATCTCTTTAAGCAACTCCTCTCACCGCTGCACAGTTTGCAGAGTTAATATTGCAGCACCCACCCTTAACAGCCCCTGGGTTCCTCAAATGAAAACATATTCCAAGAAGCTTTTCCATCCTAAATATCTGTAGCTAGGAAAGTGGCAAGGATCCTGATACTTGAGCTGTGCATTTACTAATTCTGCAAGCTGCAGATGTTGGCACAGCTACCTTGTAGCCCAGTGTACTTCGGTTATTTACTATTTTCACTGTTCTGCCTGATGCCTGTTGAATTCTTCCTTGGACAAATCATTTACAGTATTTGTTACAAATGTATGCTTTTGAAAAAGGTAGCTCCCCTCGGACCTGGTTTTATGTTCGTTTAAAAAGCAAAACAGTTGATGCTGTCCCTTCAAAGTGATTTAATGGTTTCATTATTTGAGCTTCTGTTACTTCAACAGGAGGATAACACACATTGTTTCCCAAAATTGTCATCTGCAACAAAGATGTATCCTGCCTTAGGGTAGTGGACTGAATGTGATGAACTGGCTGCTTAAAGCCATAGGATTCTTCGATGGAAGACTAGCAGGGTGAGTGCACCATAACCCTTGGTTTTGACATGAAATTTAATATTCTGTTTTGAAAAAAGTACCGGTATCCGAAATTTATTGTAACCTTAGCTCACGAAATAGAAGTTCCCTAAAAACTCTTAAGCGCACTGTGTTAGCAGAGCTTAAGCAATCCAGAGGGCTGTCACATGAGAACTGGGTGTGGAAAATTAGCAAGACATTCACTTTGACCTTTAATGGTGCCTAATTCCAATGCTCGTTCTTCCCTGTGTGTACATAGGCAGGTAAATGACAGCTGGCCACCCCATGTTCAGTGATGAACTGCATTTGGGTTGTACATAATTTTCTACACTTAAGGCAACTTTATAATGTATGAGGAGGTCTTCAATGCATATTTAGATGTCAGTAGTAGGAGTAAATCATATGACCCAATGCAAGAGGGATGCCAGGATTTAACTAGACTTCCCCCCCCTTCTCCACTATTAGCAAGGGACAATATTTATTTGGAACTTTTACTTTCATTTTATCTCAGAAGTGCCTTTCGAAAGAATACTAGTTCGCTCAGCTTCTTTTACTTGTATGTGTGGCTTTTACTTGTTATGGTCTTGAGTGCTTGCATAGACATTAATTCTGCATAATTTCCTGTGGTGGCAGAGATGGAAGCATTGGCATTGGCTTGAATGAACAGGATTGCTGATCTAGCACATAGTGGCTATGTTTGCAAGTTGTGGCAAGCCATAGTTAATGGTTTTCTGTCAGCAACACATGTGACTTCCACATCACTCCTCCCCAAGCATGACTGGGAGGAACAAACCATGATCCCTGACTTGGTGTTACATCCAAGCTGAGTACCATGGTTTGTTTTGCTCCAAATAAACCATGATGTGAAACCAGGAGTTGTTCTTGACTTACCATTAGGTGTGAGGATGGGGAAGAGATTTGGCACTAACATTAAGATTCACTGTTACATCTTTGGATCAGCCTCTTAGAGAGTATTTTTGTTTTTAAACTCTGTGGGATTTATAAATGGGGCCCGGGGCACAGAGGGAATCGTGAATTTTGCATTCTGTGGGAACATTCCCCAATTGTAGTGATGTTAAATCAGGGGTCAGCAAAGTTTTTTGTGGCTTGGGCTTGTTCACTGTCCTGCAGGCGCCGTAGTGGACCGGAGCATGCACACACGCACGCATGCGCAAACACTATTTCCGGCGTGGAGGAGACATGTGCAGCTTCCCATTGGCTTCAGGAGCTTCCTGCAGCCAATGGGAAGCCAGCCAGCGTCGCGGAAGGTGGTCGCCGCTCTGCTCTGTGCTGCTTTAGCGTGGCGCATGGGAGCCGACTGAGCGGGCAGCGGGGGTCCATGGGCCGGTTAAACGACTCCTTTAGGTTGCCGACCCCTGTGTTAAATGAAAGACAGGAATCTTGTGCCTCAATTCACACTGCTATTTGCTGTCCGAGAGCTTGGTTCTGGAGGAGAAGAGGGAAGCTGGGTACAATGCATGTCTCCCATCCCTAGCTTATTGAAGCAAAGCTCCCTTGTAAACCACAGTTCAAAGTTGGCTTATTTCTGCAAACTATTGTTGTTGTTTTTTTAAATAATATTTATTAAAGATTTAATAGTTACAGAGAGAAAAAAGAAGAAACAGTAAAAAGTTAAACAAAACAAAACAATACCTTACAATACATCAAAGAAAAAAAGGGGGCAAAAAACAATACAGCAGAACAATAAAAAAACCAAAAACATTTAAAAACACATCCAGTATTTCCGTATCTTTATCTTTCATTTACTTGTTTCATCGACCTCCTCACACCTCCCTTTTTTGTATTCTAGTTCAATTAGCTATTTCAGCAAATCCTTTCCATCTTTCTCAATTTTTGTTCTATAATTTATCTTAACACAATCTGACCTTAAATTTTACACTTTGGCCCATTAACAATCTATTTTTACTTAATTCTTTATAACATTTCTGCTAGAACCATGTAACTTCATTCCAGCATCCTTCTAACATTCATTAATTTTACAATATTTCTGTAAATATACTTTGAATTTTTTCCAATCTTCTTCCACCGACTCTTCTCCCTGGTCTCGGATTCTGCCAGTCATTTCCGCCAACTCCATGTAGTCCATCAGCTTCATATTTCTGCAAACTATTGTTAAGGCTAACCACAGTTGGTCTTGCTTTGAATGGAACTCTGAACCGCAGTTAATGGAAGTGAATTTTTCCCCCCTACAAAATATTGAGGGTGCCAGTTGGCATCCATCAGTTGGGAGACAGTGAAGTAGTGTTGGAACATTTGCAGCTAATTGCTTTGTGTTCTCCTTTTCATAAGTTGAAAACCTTTGTCATGCATAAAAAAGAAATCACAAAGTATTGTTCTGGGTTATGAGACACAGAATGTTATACAGCGTAAGCATTATGTTAAGCCAACTAGTTGCAGATCTGTGATGCAGTAAGTATTAGTATTATTATTAAACTTTTCATGAGGGAGAAAAACCACTTTTCCCCACCAGCATTGTACGTACTCCCAGTTGTATAGATACTAAGGGTGGCCGCTGAAATAAATACTCCTTGTTTTCATGGGCTTCAGGAGTACATGCAGTTTATCTTTTCCAGCCTCTAGGTAGCACATACAGATGTTTGCCATGGCATCGGCGACTCCATCATTTACCTTCAAGGAGTTCTGTCCCTTGTACTATCTTCTCAATGCCATTCCTACAAAGATCCAAAAGGGATTCCGTTCCATTGTGGTATACCTCACTGCACTTGACACTAATGAGGACTACATCGCCGTGGGCAGCAGTATTGGAATGTTGTATTTATACTGCAGGCGCTTGAACCAGATGAAAAAGTACAATTTTGAGGTATGAACCAACACTTAACAGGACACCTTCATTTTTTAAAAGGTGTGATGAGGCTTATGCCTTGGGTTTTGTCAGTTTTAGCATATTGAAATGTGCAGAAATGTAAAGCTATAGAGTTAGTTAACGTGAAGAAAAACGTTTGCTCTGGCTGTTGCTAAAATTAGATTAAGAGTCAGCATCTATTTGTGGTCTGTAATTATTTTATCTCACACAGCGTGATTAAGGGGTTTGTTCTCAATTCTATCTACTTGCTTCTCAGTGAGGCATTCTGTTGTTCATCATCTGTTTATTTATATGCTGCTTTTCCACTAGAGATAGACCCCATAGTGGTTTTCAGGGCATAAGGAAATGAGAGCTGTAACATATTGCAAAATATAAACGTTAGTACATCAGAGTTCAACAGCAGTTTCATACCATATAGATTGCAACAACATAATATCAACCTATTTTATTTATTTATGCTATTTGTTTATTTTTTATACTGCCCTATACCCAAAGGTCTCAGGGCAGCTCACATAAAATATCAAATACATAAAATCAAAACAACAACAACCCAATAACCCCCCCCCTCAAAAAAAGAGCCAGCATTTTAAAAAGGGTATAGGATGTAGATCAAGTCAGGCAAAGGCCTGGTTAAAAAGAAATGTTTTTGCCTGGTGTATATTGAAGGCGCCAGGCGAACTTCCCTGGGGACAGCATTCCACAGACAGGGAGCCACTGCAGAGAAGGCCTGTTCTCGTGTTGCCACCCTCTGGACCTCTTGAGGAGGCACACAATTATAATTCATATTGATATTTCATTTATTTGGAAAAATTTATA